AAGACCTCCATGACCCCATTCATTTATAGAGCATCAGCAAGCTCAGCGCTGGACGGTGTATATAGAAGCAACAACACTCTTTAAACCACAGGAGCTCACACTCTAATACAGGGGTAGGCAACCTCTGCACTCCAGCTGAGGTGAAACTTAAAATCCCATCATGCCTCTGGGAGTCATGCCTGTGGCCGGCAGTCTGGCAATGGGATTTGTAGTTCCACAACAGCTGGATTGCTGAGGTCGCCTACCCACTGCTCTAATGTCTACTGCAAGCATACCAACACACACCCAAGGCAAAGGTAGGCAATCTCAGCAGTCCCACTGCTGAGATTGCCTAGAACTACAAGTCCCATGAGGCATTGCAAGACTGTGACAGCCAGGGCCGTCTTTATTATTAAAGGAGAACTATGAGGGGGGGGGGTGCTTTTCACTCACCTCATAGTTCTAGCCGACCTGTGACCATGAGACTGTCACAGGTCGGCTCAGACCTTCCTCATCAGGACCGAGTGCACTACAGATCCAACGGTCACCACCTGCCAATCACCACCCCCCACCCGGCAGCAACCTACGCTAGCGACGGCCCTGGCTGTCGACATGCCAGCAGTCCCCCAGCCCTGCCACCAGCGGTGCCGCTGTTCTCCTGCCTGCTGCTCTGGGCAAATGGGACATGTAAATTATGAGGCCCAGGACAGTTGCCTCTTTTGCCCTGCGGTAAAGACGGCCCTGGTGACAGCCACAGGCGTAACCCCTGGAGGCATTTGTAGTTTCATCACAGCCAGAGTGACAAGGTTGCCCACCCCTGTCCTAAGCCCACCCATGTCCTATGTGGGTTATAGTTTGGAAGGGGATTTAACTATCTGTATATGTCTATGCACACAAACATGGGGGAGGACATGCTAACTCCATGCAGATACAGAAACGGATCCCAGGACCCTCCCTGTCCATACCACCGCGACTGCTTCTAACCCTGGAACCTTACTTTTTCTGTGGCACTGCGCCTGAAATGCACACCCGGGTAGTATTAGCCACTCAACAGTGTGTTAGTAGGTTGTCAGTAGAGTGTGCCCATTGGGGCTCACGGTTCAAGTACAGGGGTCAGTTTAGGCAGGAGCCAATTCATCTTTGGAGGAAGTGGTGGACACAGAAATTCTGTTTGTAGTAACAGGCCCAAATGATCCATCCACCGCAGATGACAATATCAAGGTACATGCCCCATGGTTTCCAGAAGATAGAGGACTCCATTACTGGACCACCTGGGACACCTTAGGTACATAGGGACCCAGAGCCAGTCGGCACAATGTTATGGGGGGGATGGTAGGGGCTCCATTTTTGAGCTACTGTGTGGAGGAACGTCCCTTGAGATGAAGAGTTGACCTCAGAATGACCACAGCTCTCTAGCCATGCCAGCTAGTATTCCTGTGCCAGGGCCATTAATAAGGAACTGCCCAACTTTTGAAGTTATAACAGCCTCCAATCTTCGGGGAAAATTAAGGAGGATGTCTGTGGGAATTTGTGCCCATTTGTGAGGTCAGGTACAGATGTTAGATGAGAAGACCCAGATCACAACTGGCGTTCCAATTCACCCCAAAGGCGCTCACTACGGTTGAGGTGGGCTCTGTGGAGGACACTCCAGTTCCTCCCCACCAAACTCATGAAACCATGTCTTTATGGAGTTGGCTTTGTTGCCCCCCTTTGGTAACTATAACAACCTCCACTCTCCTGGGAAGGCTATCCACAAGATTTTGGAGGGTGTCTGTGGGAATTTGTGCCCAATGGTGAGGTCGGGTACTAATGTTAGATGAGAAGACCTGGATCACGGTTGGCGTTCCACTTCATCCCAATGGTGTTCAGTTGGGTTGGGGCTCTGTGGAGGACACTCCAGTTCCTCCCACACCAGACTCTGTGTCTTTTTGGAGCTGGCTTTGTGTACACAGGGGACAGTCATGCTTTTGGAGT